AAAGAAATGAGAAACATACCCATTGGAATAAGTTGCGAAGATTGAATTCAATATTATTAGACATAATTTAAATAAGTATTCATTTTTATTAGCAAATATAAAAACGTGGATAAAGATGAAGCAAAGACAAGCCATTTCACGTTCACTTGCGTTGACAGAATTTATTACAATTACCGGGTAACATGGATTTGTTTTTTTGGGCACGTTTGATAATAAGAAGCAGAGGAAGAAAAGCACAAGAAATAAGTATTCGGTATTATGACAGAGAAGACGAAAAATGACACGGCATAGCAAGTCAAAGTTATAAATAGTACATCAAATAAATAACGGAATGAATGGAAAATAATTTTTTTGTATATTTTTTTTTTTTTACGATATTTGTTCATTAATTACTCGTTTCTCTTTCTCTTAATGCTTTCGCACAGTCCTGCACCTGCTCTACCCAACTATTTCTTATTTTCTTCAACTCCTCTTTCTCTTTTCAACTTCTCTATCTTAACATCCCAATTCTTCTTCTGGTTCTCGTTCTTCCATTCCTCTTTATCGAACTTCGCTTCCAGTTCATCTAACCACTCCTGTTTTTTCCCTTCTCGAACTTATTCAACATTATATTTTTATATTCTTTCATTAAAATTTCGAATTGCTGTTCCAATGTTGCCATTTTAAGGAATAATTTTTCTTTTATTCGATTTACATAATAAACGTCGGTCCCAGTAACATCAACAAATTTTCCACCCCCCTGGTCGGCGTTACTGAACACTGAACTTGGCCAAAATTATCCGCGCGAGTGATAAATTATTTAGGGTCACGTGTGGTGGAAATTTACAAACCTTGTGGCTAAAACTTTTTTTTTTATCACTAAACATAACCTATCATTCAGACAAAAAAAATTTTATTTTTGAATTAGATAAAGAACCCACATTATGACATTATGTTCGTAACAATATGTAATGATTCCAATGATATGGGATCTTTGCAATATAAAAGGGGAAACAGCCGGAAAAAATTAAAATTACTTTTATAAGCCAAATATGATTTTTAGGTCACAATATGTTCAGATTTAGTATTAACTCATTTTTTATTTTTTCCAGCCATTTCCTTTTATTATGATGATTCGAAAATTATATAAATACATATGAATCGATTAAATTTGCATTTTTAAATCTTATGATATATTATTAATAAATAGGACTTACAACAAAAAAATGGCGATTTATGTAAAAAGAATAGAAATACTACTTTGTTTTCAGCAATGCAAGGAACGAACTTTAGGACCGACTGCGTGTTACCGATTCATCATACTTATTATCGTGTTCACCCATATGGTGTAAACGATCTTTTTTTTTTTTTGCGATATCACGGAAAATTAACCATATATTTTAAGCTAATAAATAAAACCTTAAATAATACTTTTATAAATTTTAGTATAATAAACTCTCTATAAATGCACTCCCCTTGGGACTAGGTATAAGGAGAGGGTGTGCACTTATAGAATATATATAAATCTATTTAATATTAATCTAAAATTAAGGTAAACTATATAAAATTTTTTTTATAAAGAGTGCATTTACAGAGAGAGTATATATATAAAAAACGTGCATTTATCAAGTTGGGACCAGATAAAAGGTGCATTTATAAAGGGTTGTGCATTTATAGAGGGTGCATTTATAGAGAGTTGACTGTATATATTACAGAATTAATTAAAATTTTATCAGCTGTAAACTTTTTGAAATTAGTTCTAATCCTTGCGGTTAATTTGAATATCATAAGTGGTTGACGAAAGAGATCTTTTTTTTTTTATTGTTGTAGTATTAATGATTGTACTTTCATCTATATTTTTCAAAAAAAAAAATTAAGGGATAATAAAAAAATAATCGAAGATGAATTTACCATTAAAAATTTTCCATAATATGAAATATAGTTTTTTTTTTAGCATTAATATGGACATTGTTGTTAATTGAGTAGGCATTAAATCTTGCTTTTTATTGAATAAAAAATTCATCTTTTATGAATATATCAATAAGTTTGTTAATATATTCTTTCAGCATATTTTTCAAAAGTAAAATTCGCCTATAAATAAAAATCTAAATCATATTATTAACGTTAAGCTAATAAAACAAAAAAGTAAACAAATCGTAGTTTCTTAAAAAGTGGTTTTTCCATTTTTTTTTGAAAGAATCTAATCATATCGGAAATTGGGACAATTAATATTTAAGCTCAACTGATGGGTTCATTATATGTATGAACTATGAGAAAGAGAATGATAATTTAAACCCGAACCCTTAAAAGGAGAATTTTATCACATGTGTGTTGATCTCCGTGCGACAAGCATAATTTTTTTTATATGTAACGCACTGACCATTTTAGATCTCCCGATTTATAATCTGTCAAATTGACGCAGTATATTGGCGCATTCGAAAATTGAAAATATTTACATTCGTCCAATATGGAGTAGATAGATATAATGAGGAATATTATATGAGATCAAAACTAAATCTGTTATAGCTTTCACTTTAGAAATTTCACATGGGATAGTAAGTCGTCGAAGGCCTTTTTACAATAATATCACTTGTAATTTTTACGAATGAGACATAATTTCCATTTATAGGCAGAATAATTATCATTATCAGTAGATTTTACATTTAAATCTTAAAATTCAAAGATTTTTATAAAAATTGATGTAAAAAGATGCTTAAATTTTTTTTTTTAAAAAAAAAAAATTTATTTTTCAAAAGTAGTGATTGGACCCGGGATCCTGATTAACTGTATTATCACGTGATTCTATATCTAACGACTGCCGTCTTTCGATTTTTAGTATACCCACACACATTTCTCAAAATATGGATTCAAGCATACTTGATTATGCTAGATTTTATCACGAATTTAAACCGAAAAACCCAAACCCAAATGTAGAAATAGAAGCCGAATACCTCAAGTTACAAGGTAAGCAGCATTCAACGTACATTTATTGGGAGATAGTTGGAGGGTTTGACTACATTCGCTGTAGAGTTTCCATAGACACTTACCGCACTAATGCAAATGTTGCCGCTTCAGCTTATTATAGTAATTTGGATTTGGTACCTGGCAATATTTAAGCTTTGGTGGTGGCTTATTAAAACGTGTATCTATGAACATCCATTTGAACCAAATACAAAAGAAGGTTGCTTTAGGGTTGAATCAAAGACAGATAAAAAGGGTAAAAATGTGATACTAACAAGGAATTCTGAACATAATCTTTCAAATAACAATTTTACATCTATTGTAAAATCAGTATTAAAAAGAGATAAAGTATCGGATGATGAGTGGAAAAAACGTTTAAGGAAAGCTAGATATCATTTACAAATTCATGAGGACATCACTCATTTGGAAATGATTCGTCAATCCTATCAGATTTCATTTGCAGTGTTTGGAGTTAATGAGTCCGTCTACCCGTGCCTAGCTAGAAATAACGATAATGATAATGTAATCGAGGATGTTTCTTTAAGGACAAGGACAAGTGGTAGCATGGTTCATTCGTCGCATATCAGCATCACCAAGTTTTGAAAGAAAGAAAATATCGAAAAAGACAAAATACAATGAATTAGTGAACCTAATACGACAATTGATATTAGCAAAGGCCAATCCTATTCAGAATTATAACGCTGAAGTAGATAAGGAAAAGGTTAGAGAAATGATGATTAAGATGTATCGTACGAAAAAGGAAAAAGTTTTGGCAACAGAAGAGCTCAAAGAAATGTTTGGAAACCTTGATATTATTGAAGAGGATGAATGGGAACATGATGTTTATGGAGAAGGCGTGTATGAAATTGATGAAGGTAGTGATGTATCAAATTCTGAAGAGGATGGTAATTTATAACTTTCTTTCAAATGATATACGTTTTTTTACTATTCGATGACAAAAATATATAAAGTTGATTGTATTTGATTCAATTTAATATCTTAGGTACATCTGGTATGTATAAAAAATGTGATCTATACATGCTATTTTTTTATATTTAAATAAAAAATTTTCTTAAAACGTCTTAGGTGAGATTATGCGCTTTGTAAAAATAAATGCTGTCCACGTATGTCACATTTTACAAGGTTTTATGTAATTAATTAATGAAGAAAATTGGGATGTGCTGAAGAAAGGATCTTTGCGGAACGTTAATTTCATATCAACATTTGTGACGCAGTAAGTTTAGTTATAGATTCAATTATTTTTATAACTAATAATTTTAAAGACAATTTATTTATCATCTAGCTGTAAAATCCTAAAAACTTGCTTTAAAAACATCTAAAATTGATCCTTCGTCTTTAATTGATATACAAACTGGATACAATCTTTTTTGCAACGTGAAAAACACGAATACCTGCAAGTTTTTATGGGATATTAAATATTCCCATAAATAGTAAAACGATCTAAAATTAAAAACCGGATTTTTTTTATTAAATTAATTCGACAAATAACAGGAGGCGCAGCGATGATACAGTCCAAAAATAATAAGTATATGATGATGTATTGATTGCAAAATTCTGAGACAAGTATTTTCAATGTATGAATATTTAAGTTTCTTACGTCCTTTATAATAATCTTTATCTCATTAGTTTGTATTCGAAAAGGAATAGGAATTAGGTATGAGAGAATCAAAGGAATAATGTGAAGTAGAATATTCGTGATCTGCGTATTCTTGTATTTTTAGCCTTCAGCTCGTGCCCTTTTGTTTTTAATAAAAAGGAAAAGGCAATTTCGTCATAAAGTCAAATTTATTATGTAATTACTAGAAGAATTGGGTTTAGAAATATAAACTAGTTTAAATGAAAATGGCCTCAAGGCGAAATCCTGAATTAGATTAAAAGGGAAATTTACTTTCATATTCATTTGGGGAAAAAAATGTTGTCATTTGACAATCATTTCATATCATAATTTTTTATAAATATGTGAAATTTCTCAAAGATACAAACGAATAATAATAAAAAAAAAAAAATAAGAAAAATGTCTAATCAACTGAATAAAATTACTACGAACGTTAAATATTATGGAGGTGCAGCAGAAGAAGCTGTGGGAAGTGCTATCGGTATGGATTCAATGAAATTGATGGGTCAGGCAATCAAACTTGAAGGTGGGTAATAAAAATCCATTCTTAATAAGCTTTTTGAGATTGTATTGATTTTTCTGATGCATCATTTTTAAATATAGCCGAAGCAGAATATCAGACGAGAAAAGCGCAGGAACAGGCTCAAGGTACTCTTGTAAACACTTTCTTTTTCTTTTTTTTTTTTTCTTAATTCTTTCTAACAAAATATTATATAAAACGAAAACAAGAATTTGGAGATAATGCTTATCAATCGGTTAAAGGAACATTTGGTAAATTCACTGGAGGGCAAAATGAAAATGATGAAGAAGCCAATAAAAAATAAATCAATTTAAATTTCTTTTATTTTTTTTCAAAAAGTTCATTTGTAATATTATTATTTGTAATTATATAATTATAAACAAAAAAATTGTCCCAATGAAATAAATTTCTAAATTGGTATTTTACCTAAACTAAGTTTTTTTTGAAAATGTGACCTTTGACAGTAGAAGGAGGAAACTGCCTGGAAAAAATCAGGTTTACTTTATGCAAATTATGATTTCAGGTCAAATTTTGTTCTTTTTCTCCTTTTATGCAAGGTCCCATATTACGTTTTTGTCGTTTCACTAGTTTTTTTGTTCGATCCATGTTTACAGTTGTGGCGGAAAAAAACTGACAATTTTTTTATAACTTCATAATTTCGTGAGTTTTGCGTCTAGAGACATGAATTTAGTATCATTAGATTCATCTCAATAAGATGAATTTAGTGAGATTACTAGATGTAAAAAAAATATCATAAAATGTCATATGTAATAAATGTCAATAAACACTGCTAATTTATTTGGCATTTAATCTCATAATTATATAAGCTTTACACTTAAAGATACCATTCAATTTGTCTTAATGAGACGATTCTAATGAGCTATATTTTATTTTCATATGATCACTAGATACAGTATAATGTAGAAAAACATATAGAAGATTATTAAAAAAAATATATTTTTTTATATAATTTAGCGAATACGATGAAATATTGTCCATGTTTATATACTGTATATAACGATAAAAATAAATAAATTTGTAATTAAATAAATAATTTACATCTCCCTATATACATTATTATGTACATTAAAAAATTTAAAAAAAAAAAAAAAAAAAAAAAAAATGCTCCTTTCTATATACTGAACAAAAATAAAACGTTCCACAAAATTAACAGATTAGTAACTTCATATCGCAGCTTTGTAATTATCTATCCATTCCTTAACCTGATTTATGGTATTCCTTGCCTGCTGCAATTCATATTTCAGCCATTCAATGTCCGCTTCTTCGTGTTCCCCCTCAGTAGTTGAAATTGAATTCAGTCTTAGCTTAACATCGTTATGGATTTCCCTAAAAAAAAAAAAAAAACAAATGAGTTGAATGATAAATGAAAAATGGCTCAAATGAATGTCAACAAACTTTAGATCGTCTTCAAACTCCAAATAAATTTCGAGCTTCTCTCCATCCGTAGGATCATTGATTTTCTTTTTCAATTTATTCTTGATTTTATCCATTATGTCTCGCAGCTTAGTCAGTTCCACGATTACGTCTACCGCCAAACCTCGCAAGAGCATATGATAACTACGCACCGCCTTTTCTCCCTTCTGCGTCACGGCACACTCCCAGTAGGTTACGGCCTGGCAGAAATCTCTTACGTCATTATAAATCTTTTCTAGAGCTTGGTCATGGACATGTTCGCGAGACTTTTGTCGTTTCTCGATAGCTCTGCGAAACCAGTCTTGGATCTTTTTGGCCTCTTCTTGAGCTCGAGGAGAATCCTGAATCTGTCGGAACCAGGCTTGAGTGTCTGTGGTCGGCTCTGAGGCATCCCTGGAAATAGAAAGTCGGTCATCATCCTCGTCTTCAACAAAAGCGATATTTTGTTCGGTTCGTTGTGGTACGGATTTATATGCTGGAACACCGGTTTCGGTACTTTCCTCAATAACGACTCGTGATTTGATCCTCATAAGGGATTCTCGGAATTCTTCATTAGATTTATATTTAAGTACCATAACACCACCAGACTTTTCCAATTCAGCAAATCTAGACAAGCCTCCCCATTGGTATTGGACTATAACTAGGGAATCGCAGCCCGTCTCTTTGAGGTCATCTTTCAGAATATTCACAAGACGTCCCATTTGACTCTCATCCATGTATTTCTTGATCTTTATATTTATAGAAGAGGCGTCTTTGCTCAGGTATTTGAAAAGATTAAATACCTTCGTTGCAAAAGTGGGTTCGTTCCTACCAATAAGAACCAAGAGTCGTATCAGCCGAAGGATGATCGACTGATATTGATAGAACCGATCATCATAGATCAAATATTCGAGAAGTTGTTGAACTTGTTCTAAAGAATCTTTGACTGCGGCATTATAGTTCTCTCTGTCGTATGATCTTCGACGATCCGGAATGAGTGGTTCCGTTTTGCATGCGTCAAAATAATTAACGAGATAAGACCGAGGTAAGCAAAAATTGCAATACCCAGGAGCGACCGCAAAAACCAAAGATACTTTGAATTCCATAAGGGTTGCAAGATCAGAAAAGGCATCAGGTGTATCTATGTATACGCTTTCAGCGTTATTTATAGCGTATTGAATAAATATGTTTATGTGCATGATTGCATTGATTACGCAATATTCATTTTTAGAATAGAGCCAAATATAGAATAACGAAAGTCGCTTTCCAACTGGAATCGCTACAGCATATCCATATCCGTAGTAATCATAACCGACGGGTAATTCATTAGGATATAAAAGCTCTATTGTTTTTGACATTTCCCAATTAAACTTATCAATGGACCATTTGTTCCGGAACTGCTGAAAAACGAGCATACATTTTAACATGACCGCGAAGTTGTTTGGTTCATTGGATAATTCCCCTAGCCATATCTTATCAGCAGTATTGATTAATTCATACCACGTATAATTAGCAAGCACCATATTAGTGACCTCTGGGCAACTTGTCTGCGGTGACTGATAACGAATATGATAATTAACCAGTTGTTCAGTCCACCACCTTTCTGCAGGACGAACTACTTTACTTTGCTCGTCTTTAAGAAGTCGTAGGTGATATAATAAATCCCACTGTCGCAATACGGTGTATTGGAGCCATGCAAGTGTGAGGCGCTTATACAGCATCGTCGGTGACGGAACTACGTGATGTTTTCGGCAATCTGACTTTTGGCAGGATTCATATTTATAGCAGATATAATTACCTATGAACGGAATCTCTCTACCCCTCTGATTGACATTCCAGAGGAGCTCGTATATATATGATACAAGTAATTGTGAGATCGCATGGTGCATAACTTCCACATCGTATACATGCCAATAGTCTATATTTTCTGCCGTATCCTCGTCAATAAGATGAACAAGCGGGTTGTCAGAAGAACATTTCCGTTTCTGCTCACGGTCCTTCACCTCGCTCACAACAAAAATTTCTTCGAATTCCTTGCGGGCTATCAAATTGTTGACATTTCGACGTGTATCTATATAAGGAAAGGCCAAGTCCGCGCACAACCTCTGCAAACACTGCAATCGTTCGTGCCAGTACTCAAACTGGATATCGGATTGTTGTGGAATCTTCAGCCATATATTTATTGCACGAAATTCAGCAACAAATTCCTCGCGTTTTCTGAAAAATTGTATGCATTTGTGGACTCTACTGAGATCCTCTCCTAAATAAGCGTCGTATAACCGAAATTCTTCCATTAGGATCTTCCACCGCTCAGACTTCTTCAACGCCTTTGATAATTGTGATTCTAATTTATTGAGAGTCTCAGATATCGTGCAAATGATATCGCGCAACTCTGCGTTACTTGGACTCATGGTATTTGTCATTGAACTTTTAAGAACATTTACCCTACATAGATGTAAAAGGCACTGGAACGCTTCGATTACATCTTCATCCTTAAAGCCCGAGCGAATGAACATATCCGCAGCTTCTTTAAACTTCCCACGCGAGTGCAGATCTTCAGCAGCGTGGCGGAATTGACCATTCTTTTCACAGGCCTCCAGAAATTCTTCCGGTGCATGATCTTTTAGGAGCTCAAATCGCTCCTCTTGTGTTGGAATAATGGAGAGAGCCTTCTCGCTCATCACCTTGTTGTTCTCTCGACGATAATATATGTTAACGAGTCGGGTAACACGGTGAAATATCTTCTCATCAATCTCTTTTCTGTGTCTAAAAATAATAAATATGATAGGTATTAGATTATACTGTTTATTTGTAACGTCCTGCAATTATTGGCAAATTATAAAGAATCACCTGTAAAACTTACCTTTGCATTAAATCGATTACTTCTTCATAACGACTACCACTTTTATAGGCAACAACTGCATCAGTGTACTTCTTTGCCTTTTCATAATACTCACCTGCCTCACGAAACATTTTGGCCTTGTTGTAACAAAGCGCAGCGGGTTCGTACATGTTCCATTCGGCATATACCTTACCAGCTTCTTTATACATGCTGATTTCCTAGTTATTTACCAAGCGTAAGCATCAGCTTGAAATTTCGAAAGTAGAAAATCTCAAGGTAAATCATTACCTTGTAGCATGAAGCAGCCTGAGTGGGCCGTGAACATTTTTCAAAGGCCTGAGCAGCACTAATGAAATTTTTCTTTATGGCACTATCATCAGAATTATTTACAGAATCCCTTGCAATCTGTTGAAGATAATATGCATTGGCTAGTTTGTAGCTCTCCTCGTTTTCGCTCTTTTCGAAACAGAACATTGCCTAAAATAATAACATATATTTGGTTTAATACAGTTAATCTATACAAAGTCATTGTAGAAGAATCAGAAGAATCTGTACCTGTTCATATTGTCGCTGTGCAAAAAAATTTTTTCCCTGTTGATCCCACTCATGTGAAGTGCTCTTCTTGGCCAAAGTGGAAAAGGTATTTATTTCGTCTACACTTTTGGTAACCCTGATTAGTCCATGGTGATTCCAGTACATGCGGATTGGCATGCTATACTCAGCATTTTCATCGCATATCCAGATATGCTGCCGAGCCCTGGTCACAGCGACGTAAAGATGTTTAAGCTCTGAGGAAAGGATGTAATGTTTCTCGTGAGAAAAGGTCTGAACCCCCTCAGACTTATCAATCAAATCGGAAAGAATTACTCGCCACTAGAGTAGTATACATAAATAAAAAATTCAATGTGATTTGTAAGGTAGATAAAGTAAAATTCATAACATCATTTATACCTTTAGACGCGCAGGTGAATCTGTAAAGAAATTATACAACAGCACATCACTAAATTCCATGCCCTTGGCCTCGAACACTGTCATTACCAGTCCAGCTTTACCAATTAGGTCTTTCAATTGCAATTTGGCTTCATCGTCACGTACAATAATCACTTGTTCCGCACCAAATTCAATATAATTGGCCTTGCGTTCACCCGCAGAGAATACTTTAAAATGTTCTTTCTGAAATCCGTCAAACACGATAGGCCGTGGACCACCGATTTCACCGCGTTCACGCGACAGTCGGTCAATGGATTTAGGAAAAAAACGCCAGATGAGATCGATTACTGAAGAGGCAAGTTGAAGGATACCGTTATGAGAACGATAGTTAACGTTTAGTTCAAATTGTTTCGGTTTTGCAATGTTGCGCCGATTCTGATTGGATGGGATCCGAGAAAGTTCCCATTGATACATTAAGGCGCGTAAATCTACATTAGAGTATTAAAGAAAATTAAGAAAATACAGATAATAAGTATCGAATTTTCTTCTTAAAAGGTTATCTGTGTACCTTGGAATCGGAAAGAAGATCCTCGGGCAATACATTGTGCTATATCTCCAGCTAAAAAAACGGCGTCAACATTCTCAAAGACCTTCAAGATAAGTGCAAAGTCCACGATTTGGTTATCCTGACATTCGTCAATATATACTTCATGAATATGTGGACCTCCAAGTCCCTTTTTTTTTGCACAACGTAAGATTGCTAGCGTTCTGCGAAAAGAATCCCAAACAAGTTAAGCTTGAAAATATCTACCTAAAAACAATATATTATCTGACCTTACCGGTCCATCGAATCATAGTCACCATTCCGTGCTTTCATCTTTTCATATTGTTGAAATAAATCATAAATTTGATCACGGTTCTGACAAAACGCTGGGTATTTCTTGGTACTAATTTCCCTGTAATCTTCTCTTGATAGGCAATCCATTTCGGGATTTGAACCCTTAAGAATTTTTAAGAAAAAATAAAGGTCGTAACAGAAAATTCTATAAATATAATTGGTTAAAGGGAAACAAATTC